GGAATGTGCTGGGCACCAGGGTGCCCAGGGCTGGAGGTGAGGGGAGAAGAGCAGGGCTAGTTCTCTCCCTCACAAGGCTGGGGCTTTGCTTTTGCAGTGCCCTCCTGCAGCCCTCTGCAGCCAGCTGCAGGGTGGGACAAAAAGTGGGGACAACAGCCTGGACCCCACTGCATCACTCCCAAATTCCCAGGCTGACAGGTGAAGACCCTGCATGTCCCCGCTCACCCGCTCGCATGGGGGTGCCCACTGCTGCCCATGGCAGTGAGAGCCACTGCCTTTCCCCATGCCCGCCCTGTGCCCCAGGACCCCAGGCTTACCCCGTGGTGATGGCGGTGGTGGTCGTGATGGTGTTGGTGTGGATGCTCTGTCACAGCAGTGGAGATCCAGGGGATGAGGATGGCTGGGGGAGCTGCCAGGGGAGCTGATACGGCTGCACAAAAGAAGATGCTGGTGGGAACTAGGGGCTGGAGGTGCCTCAGTGCTGGGGCTCTTTCTGGGATCTCTGCCTCCTCCCAGGCCACTGCTGGCCCATGAGCCAACAGCCTCTCCAAAAAGAGTTCTGGCCAGTAAAGCCTCCAGCCAGCTGGACACCAGGGCGTACCTGGGACCACCCTCACTGTCACCGGCTCCATCAGGTCCCTGTCCATCCTCTCAACCACGCACCAGTAACTCCCAGCATCCACCTTGGAGAGGTCTTCTGCAGTGAGCAGGACCACGCAGGAGATGTGGCTGTGCAGGATGGAGACCTGGCCATGCTGCTGGGACACGTCCTCGCCCATCATCTCCTACACCTTGCAGCAGGCGTCCAAGCTGGGCCCCCGGCACCAGTGCTTCTTGTAGCCCTTGTAGCCCCGGGGGTACCAGCAGCGGAGGGAGAGCATCTCCTCTGCCTGGCCACTGACCTTCCTGGGGACAACCAGAGCCTGGCAAACTGAAAAAAATGCACAGCAACACCAGAGAAAAACAGGGCTGTGAAATCAGCTTTCCCCTGAGCCCCCCCTTTTCAGCTCCCTTTGGAAAGAAGCGCTTTGGGGGAGACCCCATCTGATGGCCTTTAGCTCCAGACATGAGGCCACGGTGATGGGAGGTTTTGGCTCCATCGATGCCCAATGTGAAGCCCCAGCCTCTTGATGCCAGTGGGAGCCAGAGCATCACCGGCATGGTTGGAGCCTGTCCTCACCTGGGAGAAGGAGCCAGCCCCAGCCCAGCAATATCCCCATCACCCAGCTTTGCTCTGAAGATCTGCAAGCATCAGCCTCTTGCACAGGGCATCGAGCTGGGGCACTCTGAGCTGATGTGTGCTCTCAGCTTCTTTTGTTGCTTTTTTGCTCGTGCAAGAGGTGGCTGCTTGGCTTCTGGGTTATTTTTATCTGACCAGCCTTTGCCTTGGGGCTGGAGGTTTTCTGCTGCAGATGACAATCTGCTAAGATGCTTTTTGCAGACTGAAGGACACCGGGGAGGGTGGGCAGCTGCAGAAACAAGTTGTTGTACCCTGTGCACCCCACTCAGCAGGAGGGTTTAGGAGGGGAGGGGTCTTCATCCCAAATGGCTGCTGCAGAGAGATGCTGGAGCACATGAGCTGAGCGGAGCTTCCAACGCCAAAATGGGGCATAACCAGCACGGGACCTTTAATCTTTGATTGATCTTTAGAGAGTCCACATCACGTTCCTGGGGGTACTGGGGGCTATGTGTCCTGGTGCTCCCTCGGCCGGGCTGAGTGATGCTGGGATGGGTGCAGCCTCCCGGGCGCTCGGAGGGCATCAGCTCAGCCCCTGGGCTGCATTTTGGCTGAGATGGACATGTCAGGCTCTGCCAGCTCCCAGGGGTGCAGGTGCCTGGCCCCAGCCCTGGGCTCTGCAGCACTGAGCTGGTCTAGGGGGGAGAGGGAGATGCGCAACATACGGGGAGGGAGGAGTGGGAGTGATCTGGACAGCGCCTGGAGCTCCCGTATGGCACCAAGGGCTGTGGCTGGGTGGCTGGAGGTTGGCTCTGCCAATGGTGCTTGCCAGGACAGAGAGGTTGGGACGATGTGGGGCTTTCTCCTCCTCCTCCTCCTCTGGCTTATTTATCCCAGGTATGACCATGCTGGGGCTCAGGGGAAAATGGGGAGCAGGGCTGCACAGCTGGAGCTGGTCCAGGTAGCAGCTCCACCCGTGCTCCCGCTCCCCTTTTGGCACCAGAGCTTCTTGCAGACGATGAGGCTTGGGTTGCCATGGGGAGGGAGCTAGTGGCACACAGAGGAGGTCCCCTGGCCCGTGGCTTCCCCCTGGCTTGAGCTCCAGCTTGGCCACCCACTGCCCAGGCTGCTGCCGCAGGGCTGTCTGCAGGCCCTTTGTGCACCATCTCCCCACTTGTTTTTCTTTCCATCCTTGTAGTTTTTCTTCCTCTTTCTAAAACGTCTGCGTAGGTTTCCATTTCGCAGCAGGGTGGTTATATTTGGGTAGATGACGAGGCCTCCCCAAACAGGGGCTTTTCCTTCCACAGTGTCATGACCTGGGATACGCAGCCGAAATCTTGACTGCATGGGAGGCTGGGATGGGGTGAGCAGGATGGGATCCCCTCCCCAGCCAGACTCCCCCAGGACCCTCCCACCACCCCACCCTGCCCTTCAGCCCCTTTGCTCTGTGTAAAGACCTGGAGAGCGGCAAATGAGCTGCCAGTTAAAAATAAAGAAGCAGAAGTATGAGGGCTGTGTGGGAACAAGGGTGACCACACTGGCCATGGCACTACCTCCTTCCCAGGGCACCTCGGAGTCTCTGGGGCCAGGGTGGGGATGGAGGTCACATCTCGGACTGAACGCCAGCTTCTCCTTCCCCCCCATGCGCTTCTCATTGCTGAGCACAAAGAACCATGGAGGATGAGAAGGGGCTGCCAAGGCATCCCCACCCTGGGCTGGGGATGCTGGGCTTTTCACTCCTGATTGGGGGGTATTTTAAACACATCCCAAATCTTCCAATCTCATCTCATTTAATAACCTCATGGCAGGGTGGGATTAACAGTGCTGCTGGGACTCTGTGGCATGCCGAGGTCCCCGCTGTCCTGCGGTACGGAGGAGACAGGGGTTGCTTTTGCGGAATATGGAGAATCTCAATGGGACAGGCAGTGAGAGCTCGGGAAGCAGTGGGGAAACACTCCACGGACGGTGGGAGAGCTTCAGGGGACGCCCCTTCCTGGACAGGGGGTTTTCTGGCAGCAAGGGGTGAAGCATGGAGCCGCTCAGCGGGTGTTCATGTAGATCGGCTGCAGTTCTGGAGCTCTGGACATGGAAACTTTGTCTCCCTTTTCAAAATCCTGAAATGGGAGAGAAATGTGAAGATTTGGGGCACTTTGCAGGTCTGCCTATGCTAGAGCCCTAAAAGCTCGTGTCCGCATAATGCCTGTTCCTACAGGGTTTGATAGCTGGGGGGTTGGACTGGATGACCTCTAAAGGTCCCTTTCAACCCAAAACATTCTATGATTCCATGATTCTACGACAGCTGCTGCCTGGGAGAGGCTGTTAAAGGGAAGGGAAAGGCTGGTGCGGGGGAAGGAGTGTCACCCTGAAGCAAGGCAGCTCCTCCTCACTGCAGGGCTGGTAGCATGGAGCACCCATGGGGTGATTTGCTGCGTGCTCGAGGAGCTGCCCCAGCCTCTTTACCTGCCACTTGGACGGGCTGTTCTCATAGTCATCCTCGAGTGAGCTGAGCTTCCACTCCCTGTTCATGTAGATGTTATTGAAAATGTCTGCTTGTTCCCAGTTTGCAGTGACCTGGGGGGATGAGGTGTGTTGAGGACAAGGGGGGCTCCAGACAGTGGCTCCCCCGTGGTGTGGTCATCACAAGACCCCCATCCCACTGCCCTCCCACCCGTGGTACCTTGTCCCTCTTCCTCTCCACAGCCTGGGCTGCTGGGGGAAGAGCAAGAGAAATGGGTCAGACCAACACGGGGAGCATCTGGGGGGGTGCCAGGCCCTTTCCCATGGGTGTCCCATCGGTTCCTGTGCAACCTCATCTCTGGACTGACTTTGCCAAGAGCTCCCTGGACTGTGGGGCGCAGCAGGTTGGGGTCCTGGGAAGGGCTCTGACCCCTTTCACCCCACATCCTGCTCACCCCTGGGATAGGACTGGGAGAGTACAGTCCCAGTTTGGGCCCCCAGGTCACTTGTACCACCGCTCCTCTCCAGCGATGCTCTTCTCATCCTGCAGCAGATGATGATGATGCCCAAAACCATCAGCAGCACAGCGCAGGTTGTCAGGACCATGACAAGCAGGTTTGTGGTGCTAGGAGGGGAGAAAAGGGTGTTACTGTCCTTCTGCACTGCCCCCTCTGCAGCCCTGTGCCCCGGGGAGGGCTCTCGTGCCTGTATTTAGTACATCCCTGGGGGAGCATGAGACTCTGTGAGCTGGCAAGGATGTTCCAAGGATTTCTCCCAGGTTTCCTGGCCAGGGATCCATGCACGTATACGCACAAAGTCTGTTCAACTTGGCACGAGCCAGCTGCACAAATTCATCCCCCGCCACCATGGACAAATGCCCAGATGCGGCACACGCCTGCCTGGGGTGTCAGGGTCCCTAGCAGCCCTGTGGGAGCTGGGCAAAGACCCTGGGACCCCCAACCAGTGTAGGCCTATGGCATGCAGGGATGGAGCAACCCCCTTAGCATCACATTGTGCTTTCTCCAGACAAGCCCCACTGGCCCCAAAGCCCTGTGGGCAGTCTGGAGCAGGACATTGCATCCTCTAGCTGCCTGATCCTTGCACTGGGGACAGTCCCTCTCCTCCCCGGTGGCCCTGACACTCACCCAGGCTGCAGACTTTTGCCTTTTGGTGTGGACATGGTGCTTTCCAGCTCCAGAGGAGTCCATGGGAAGGTGGGAGCAGAAGTGACCTCTTCCCCTTGTGTTGTGTGGAGGTCATAGTGTGTTGTCTTGGGCACTGTGGTGTAAACAGATGGGAAGCAAAGTGCCATGCTGCGTGTTACCTGGGGTCCTGGGCTGTGGCTGAGGTCAGCGACAGGGGGCCTTGAGGCCCCAGAGGCTGATGGCGGGGAGGTGATGGGGGGTGGCTGGGAAACACCAAGCATGGCCCCAGAGGTGCTGTGTGCACCGTGGGAGCAAGGTGGAGGATGCTTGGGGGTCACCGAAGGCATCTGGGAGGGGGATTTCTTCCATCCCTGGCTTTCCCCATCCTTCCTCCTCAAGCCTCCCCTCTCTCCATGCCCTCTGCCCCCCCAGCCTCCATCAAAGCAGAACGGCCACTCCAGGCGCTTACCTGGGAGAACAGACACCATGACAGGGAACATAGGGTCATACCAGGCTACCTGGATCCCACACCAGTACTGATCCCCATCCTCCACTGTCAGGTTCTCCATGGTCACGACGAACACGTGCCGAGTGGGGTCATCTTGCAGGGAGACCCTGTTGCCCCAAGCCTTGTCCCCAGGGGCCATGGTCTGGACAAGGACCGAGCAGGAAAACCAGCTTCTGCCCCTGCACCAGTACTTATTGGCATTCACCATCTCCAGCTTGTACTCGCAGGGTACCTCCACGGAGCCCCCTGGGAAGCCGCTCACCTCCGCAGGGCCCCGCAGAGCCCAACATCCTGCAGGGAGAGAGACCGTGCCAGCATTTTGGCAAGCACAAGCCCATGCACAAGCCTCCTGCCAGTCCTCAAGCCTGCTGCCTGCCTCCCTGCTACATGAGCTGCTTCGTGCTGCAACCAGAAAACCTCTCCCACAGCGAGCGGGGCTGCAGCCCGGGGGTGCTGCCTTGAGGAGGGCTGCCAGGGTCTGTGCAGGGGTGGACACTGGAGATGCACCAGGTTCGAGGTTGGGGGAGGCTGTGTGGGACCAAGAAGGGAGGTATGGCATGGGGGGAACAGCTCGGTCTCTCTTTGCCTCCCTGCGAAACCCCAGTGCCTGGAAACCCACTTCTGCTTCTGCCAGCAAGCTCTCCCGAGACGACTGTCCTTCCGGCCCTGGGCAGGGCAATCCCCCTTCCCAGGCTCTCCCGGGATCAGGTTTAAAAGAAGGGAAGCAATACCAGATATCCCCCTCCTGCTCTGCAGCCCCCTGGAGAGCTTCACCTCTGCCCTCCCCCAAAGTCACCCCCTCGGGACACTGCTGCCCACCCCAAAGTAGTCGGGTTTCTGTTAAAGCCACCTCTGCGGCAAGCACAAGGTGGGACGCTCACCCTGCCTGCCCTGCCCGCTGCTCTCATGGCACGGGGTGGTGGTGGTGGGGGGTGTCACAGGATTCCCAGGCTCCCTGCCACCTCCCACAGGGTGGCTTTAGGGATCTGTGAGTTGGAAAACATCGCCAACCTCTGCGTGGGATTGAAATAATTAATCAGTTCTCAGCAAAGGGGAAAGTAGGGAAGAAATGTATCTGCAGAGCATTTCCATCACTGCTGGATGAGGATGTGGATTTTGGAAGATTGGCACAGCCCCGGTGAGACCTTACCCACTCCCATCAACACAAGAAGATCCCACTCTCACCTGGGAGAAGAATCCAGGTCCAGATCAGGAGCCTTTCCCCCATCCTGCTCACCCAGCGGCTGCAGGCTCAGCCCTGGCTCCCCAGAGCTACATGTCCCCCGCAGTGGCCATGCCGGGCGCCCTTCACGACTGTGGTGCCGCTCCTCGGCTTCCTGCCCCAGCTTTGCTTCCCCCAGGGCACGGGTGCTGCCTCACTTCTCTAGCTCAGGGTTTTAGCTCGGGGCAGCACATTCGGCTGCTCCTCTGGGCCAGGGAGGCCCACACTGACCACTTCCTTCCAAACTCACTCAGCCTGGGTCGTAACTGCCCTCATCAGCAGCTCCAGCAGCCAGGGAGCTGAGAAGGGTGTCAAAAGCAGAGGGACAGCTTAGGCAAAGACCTCAAGAGGCTAAATTCAGCTTTCACTTTCTGTTCAAGAGTTTCGGGGCTGACGAAAAATTCAGTTCAGCTTTTTAAATGGGAAAACCTGATGCTGAAGAGGCGAAATGTGCTAAGGATGGCCAAACCACTGTGGGCCAGTGGCCCGTGCTCTGCTCCTGCTGGTACCCATGTGCTGGGCTGCTCTGGGCTGCGTGCATGAGGAGCAGCAGCTGGAGGAGCTGGGATTTAGTTTCCATCTGCCCTGGTGTGACCGGGAGCGCAGATGCTGGGGTGGGAGAGCCGGTCCCCAGCAAGGTGTCACGCACCGGCTCTCCCAGTGATGGTGTCCTGCCAATGGTACACGAGAGCTGCTAACACACAGCAGCGCTGAGCTGCGGGATACGGCAGAGGGCCAAGCTCTTTGAAACACAAACAAGGAGGCATCAATCCACCTGGGAACCCATCAGGCAGGAGAGGTAGGCACCAAGTTACCCTGCAAGGGTTTTTTGCCTGTGGACCGGAGAGACGCAGGAGATGCGCAGGCATCCCTGCCGCTGCTCTGTGAAGCGCAGCGAGCCCTTCCCACTGTTCCCTCAGGGCGGGAGGAGGATTGGGAGAAGCAGCTCAGCAGCAGAGGCTCTGGCTGGAACTTGCCAGGAGAAGGCACCTACAAAGGCATTTGCTGGCTGGGGATTTTGAGGGCAGCTCAGTTACCTGAAAGCAGCCAGAAGCACTTCTTCAAAGAGCCACTTTGGTAGAGAGTCTGGGGGAATTTTCCAAGCCACATCCGTGCTATCACTGTCAGATAAGAGATATAAATTCCCCTTCATTTTTTCCGTTTCAGATTTGGTTTCTGAGCAGGATACACGCTGCCAAGCCCAGGGCAGGGGCTGGGACCCCTGGCACAGACCAGAGCCAGTTCCTCCCTGTCACCGCAGTCCCCAGGACCGTGTTACCCTCCAGAGTCCCTGACTCGGTTGCAGTGGCTGAAGGCAGGTCTCCTTCCTCCCCTGAGGACACTGCAGGGATTTACAGCCGCCCAGGACTGACGCTGCAACTCCCATGTAGGGTTTTACCCCAAGATTTCTCCTTTCAGCTGTTGGGCAAAGGGGCCCCGGCTGCAGCGGGGATGCTGGCTGGGGGGTGGCGATGAGGACGTTGCAAAGGGGATGGCTCCAACTCAGCACCTTGGCCCCAAACCACCTGGGCAGCCTGTGGTGCTCCTGGAGAGGAAGAGCCAGATGGGAGCAGGCAGGAGTAAGGATCCCCGGCGCGCTGACGTGAGAGGTTCTGTCACACAAGGGGCTCTGATAATTATCCCAATTAAATAGAGTGTCAGCTTGAAAGTGATGAAACCAGAAAGGGAGTGGAAGAATTCAGAAGGAAACCAGTGCAGCAGAGCGTGGTGCGGAGCCACGCTGCCTGGTCCCCTGCAGAAACCGAGAGCCCCGTGCAGAGCCACCCCCGCCCTGCACCCTCCAGCTGGGGCACAGACGTGGGTGCTGGGGTGCTGCAGACACCAGGGCAGGTGAATAAATGTAGACGCCTGTGGAGGAGGCTGCAGCGAGGGGCAGTGGAAGGCACTGGGCTCTGCACCAAGCATCTCTGCAGGGCGGCTGTGGCTGGGAAGAGAGGGGGCCCTGGTGGGGAGAGCCGGGTCCCGCCCTGCTCTTGAGCCGAGACCCCCTCTCTTTCGGCAGCAAGTGGCTCGGGAAACACAAGGCAAGGCTGTTCTGTAAGAGAAGAAGCGTTGCTGAAACAGTTCTCAGGAATCCGAGTGATGCATCCTGACAGGAGCAAGTCAGTTTGTCTTTTCAACTCAGCGACTTGGGGCTGGAGCAAGCACTCGTGTGCGGTTCAGTAGCCGTGCTGGTGAGTAAAACAGCCCCAGCAGTGGCAGAACGATGGCTGGCGATGGGAAATGGGAATGTGGCAGCCAGAGGTGAGCTGACACCTGCACTCCTGCAGCCCCTGCTTGGCACCTGCCTGTGGGCAGCATTCCCAGCATTCCCATTCCCATATCCCAGCTCCAGTGACGGGACATGAAGCAACACGATCAGATGCTGCTTTTGCCCTGGCTCTGGTGAGGTTCTGGGTCGGGGTTTAGCCTCTGGTGGTGGCCTTAACAAAAAGGCTCAAAGCCCCCATGGGACGGGCAGTAATTGAATCAGTCAGTGCCTGCAACCCCTGCATGCACGGCCCGCACCAACAGATCTTCCCCAGCTCCCGTCCCACCTCACCACCCACCGCCCCAGCCAAGCCTTTCCAGAGTCCTCCTCTGCTCTGGGCTCCAATGACATTCCCAATCCCTGATTTAGACCTTTGAAAAATAATCTGAGTGTTTCAGACTGTGCTTTCATGGGAAGCTTTGGCAACTTTGGTGAAAGTGTCCTTAGAAGATAAGGCTGAATACAATAATTGCTAATGCAGCTCCTTTAGTGCCGGCTGATTGAGCACGCACTGTCTGATCTCTCCCTTCCTCTGCCCTCTCAGATAACCAAGATAAGCCCAGATCATTCCCAGATCTCCTGATTTAGCAAAGCTAGTAAAAGAGAGAAATACTTGCAGACATTGTGGTGGTGGAGGGTTTACTCTGGGCCGTGCCCTAGGCTGGACTCCTCAGCCAGAAAGGGTTAAGGCAGGGGGTTGTTATTATGGTGAAATTAAGAAAGCAAAACTCAACAGATTCAGAGGGTGAAATTCTGGCTCCTCACCAGTTTATTGGGAAGGAATCAGTTTGGCGGGGCTCAGATGTCCCCCCAAAAGTGTTGTAAGGGCAGCTCAGGGAGATATTACAGCGGGTTAATGGGCAGCTGAGAATGAGCAGGACTGGGCGAGGGGGATGATGAAGTAGAAACTCCTGAGCTGGCTGTAAATCCTCCACTGTTATACCTGTACTTCCCAAGGCAAATAGACAAGTAATTAAACTATCAGAGTTACGGTCTACCAGCAAACCAGTCCAAACAATGGGGTTAAATTGCATGCTCATTTGAAATCACTCCTGCCGTTTGCAGGTCATTTCCTCTGATTTCATTGCTCTGCATTGATTTCAGCTGGTCAGTGCTTCCTCGGGGCTATAAACTGCTCGCTGGCTCCTAGGAACCTCTGCTGGGGTCTGGGGGAGGCTGGGAGAGCAAGTGGTTTGCTTTGCATGGTGGGGAAAGGCATTTACTGGTGTCTGAGGGGAGGAGAGTGGTGCAGGTGTCAGGCTGCTGGGCTCCCGTAAAGCTGCTGATAGCGCTTATCTGCAATGGGTCAGGTGCCCCAGAGCCGTAAAGCCCTTGGAGTTGTGCCAGGCTGTGCTGGTGCCTGTCTTTTTGCCAGCACTCTGTGTTGTCTCATGAGGCTGCATTACACTTGGCGATCTCATGAGAGAGAGGAAAACCATCTTCCTCCCCAGTGCTGTTAAACCTGCAAGGTCCAAACGTGTCTCTGATGTAATGCTGGTGCCTGCAGTAGGAAAGGAGGATTAGGCTTTACAAGGCTTTTCTTCTTCCCAGCCAGGTCCCTTGCTCAGCAGCAGCTCCTTGCTGCTTTCCTTTGTGACTCAGAAAAGGAAGACAAATGTTGCTGGAGTTGAGATGGGTCAGGAGATGCCCTCAGAGCCCCTCCTGCAGCAGGGATGTGCTGGGAATCCCCCTCCAGAGGTAAGTAGGGATGGAGTATTGGACCTGGTGGTGCATTGGGACCTTTCTCTCCTCTTCACTGCAGGTTAAGTTCATCCCAACCCCTGGGAGAGGCTTGTCTGAGCACCAGCACAGCTTGGGTGCCCAGAGTGGGCCTGCATGGTGCCTGCAGCAGATCTGGGTCTCTAGGGTCTGTGTGACCCAGCAGGCAGCTCGGGTTGAGGCTGTGCCCCCACTCGGTGTGGCTGCTGGGGCAGGAGAAGGCTGAGTGCATGCTTGAGACATGTTGGCATGAGATTTCCATCCTCAAGGGGCTGATACAGCACTGGGACACCCATGGAAAGGCTTTTTGCCAAGTTCTCAGGGTATTTAAGAGGACAGAGAGATGCCCTGGCTTTGAAGTTGCCCTGAGGTTTTCTGCTCTCATCTTCCTGGCCCCACCCGAGTGGGGTGTGTGCACTATGTTGAACCATGATGCTGGCCTCACCACTGATAAATTACCTGATCCAGACACCATGGCTCATGATACCACTTATTTTTGCGCTGTTGATCATCTTCCAGTGCTTGAGACCAATGGGCGGCCTGGCTGCAGGGTGGTTTGTGTCGCTCCTGGGTTTAGCTTCTTGGCCTCAGGCAAGCCTGAACCCCCCCATCCTTCTGGGTTGTTTTTTCATCTTTTCTGGCTGTTGTTGCCAAGACTGATCATATGACTGGGCAGAACCCTCTCTGCTGTCAGAGGAAGTAATGGGCAGATATAATTAGCAACGTCAGGCCCAGGCAGTCAAACAGCGATCGGACAAGTGCAGATGGCTCTTGGAAACATGGTCTGTTCCTCTGGCTTGGGGCCGTCTGCTGATCTGGAAGGAGGGAACTGGAGAGCCTCTCTTAAACTTCTCAGTAAAGATTAATTTCTTTTCACTCTAATCAATGGCACCAGATTGCTCTAAAGGGAGTTGTAAATAAAAGGATCTCAATGAGATACCGACTGTCACCTCCAGGTTTAGGCGCAGATTCCTCCTGTTTCTAAATACAATTGTTTTTGGTTTTTTTTTTAGTCCAAGCAGGCTCTTAACTGGGCTCTATGAATGCAGTGGGTTTCCAAAGGGGAAATGCTGAGGTATCCAGGCTCAGGTCAGCACCAGTTTTGTAAAGAAGCTGAAGTGGCCTGGCTAGGACAGGCCACGGCCCCTCCCTGGGGTGATGCACTGCTAACCCTGTTGACCACACAGGTCTGTGCTTTGCCA